CTCTGGTGGCCTAGTGGCAAGAAGCTGCGCTACAATCCTGAAGGCACGTTGGTTTAAATCCATCAGAGGAGGAGAGCCAGTCTCCTCCCATGTGATTAACTCACTCAACAGTACATAACAACAGAGAGCCAAGTAGACAGGTCAGCAAAAGAGAGGGTGACCCTCACCAAGATGGATTGACATCATGACCTCAAGGGGCTTTAGCCTGACAGAGATCCTGAGGATGGTGCAGGATAGAGCAAGGTGCAGAACTCTGGTTAGTGAGACCCTTGTAAATCACAGAAGGCTTGATGGTATCTGTCACCAACCACAGCAGTCGGCTTGATCCAGCTGTGTGATCTGTTTGTCTGGCTGGCATTTGGTGTTCTGCTTACCTACCCACATTATCCTTCTTCCCGTCTGTCTCCCTGCCTGCCTACATATACATATATTTATATATATATATATATTTTGATTTTGGGTTTGTTTGTTGTTGTTTTGTTTGTTTGTTTATCTACACTCCTCTCTCTCTTTCTGTCTCTCTCCCAACATTCCCTCTCCAGGAATCTTTCCCACCAACCAGAGAGCTGTGGTTATGTGTCACCACATAACAGTGCTTTGTTGTCATGTGTGCTGTGATTTAGTGAGGCAGATCATGAATCATAGCAGACCCTCCAACAGGGCTCAGGTTTGCAGAGGTCGTAAAGCTCATGTTTCTCCCTTAGAGCAACTGATGGATTCAAACAACATCCCTTTGTGTTACTAATGTAACTCCTTAATGCCCAGCCACCAGAGCTCTCTCCAACCAGGGAGCGAGAAATTGAAAATCCATTTTGAGAATCTGGCGTTCTTCCACACAGTGGAATTCAGGATGAATAATCAAAGCATGGTTAGAACTCGGGGCTAAGCACCCTCACTAGAGGTCTAATAGAGTCATTTCAGAAGTCCTAGAATACGAAACGACGCAGGTTGGCGTTTGACTTTTGGAAGAACCAAGGTTGGACTTGGTCATTCTCAGATTCCTCACAGATCACAAACAGAGCCCTTAAATCAGGATCCCAGTTGTGAGACGTGACGATTGTGTCTGCCCTTTCCTGTCCCCCTAGAACAAATGTGTGGTAGTGCAGAGACGGGGCACCAAGAATATAAGCATTTGTCTTCTTACGTCTTTTTTTAAACAAATTGGGAAGAGTTCAAATTAGAATGCTGAGGACAGGCAACCCATCACCTATTAAATCATCCTTCAGAAAAATGAGTTCTTTTTTCCCCTTTTATTCTGTGTGAAAGTGCCCAATTAGACGCATCCCTACTGCCATGAAACACGCTGCAGTGCTTTTTAAGAAATCATTTGCTTTAGCACACTTGACGTATATTATGTCCGCTACACATCTAAGCCCCAGAATATTGACTTTCCCAATGAAAGAGAGCAGCTTTACCAGCATGTGGCTAATCATGGTGCTTGCTGGTTCATCACTCTCCCAGGGGCCCCTGTCCAGGCTGCGTCTCACTGCCCTGTGCTGGCCAGCCCCGGACTCCCATCTTCACGGGGAGAAGATGCAGGGGGCTCTGGGAATCAGAGCAGGTGGGAGAAGAAGCCCTCTGGCAAATTCTCCAGCAGCCTGAAGTCTCTGGAGACTGAGCACACTGAGACCTGTGACAGGAATACCAAGGTCAGCACGCCCTGCAGATTGCAGCCTTCCTTGCAAGAGCGGCAGGGGCTCGGAGCTCCCTCCCTGGATAGGGCCCTCCTCTTCCCATCTCGCTAACCCTGGCGGGGACTGCTGAGTGGCTGCAGACTGCCGGCTTCTTCCTGAGGATGGAGGGGCAGTGTCTTTCCCGAGAAGAGAGACAATGCATGAAGAGTCTGAAGGAAGGCTTCAGTTCTTCCCACCTGTGGTGGCCACATGTGTGCTTCCAAGCAGCCATGTTTCGCGGGCTTTTCAACAGCTGAGATTTTCAGAGAAGGATTGCCCGACCTTCCTTCCAAGTTCCAAGTAGGATGACTTGAGCCTGCTGCAACCTTTTTGTTAGCTGCCAAGCATCATCACTGATTGCACTACCTGTATGTGGTGATGTGTACTGTCAAGACAGAACTGACTTATACTGGCCTTCCAGCAAGGTTTTGGAGACAGTACATTGCACAGGAGAAGACTGCTCATTTTTCTCTCAGGGAGCGCCTGGTGGATTAGAACCTTTCAAGTTGACAGCACACCTCCTTACCTCTAAGTCTTTAGAGCTCCCTGATTGCCATTCCTATTGTTGCTGCTGTTCTAAGCCATTGGGTTCAGTAAAATTCATAGTGACCCTGAAAAACAGATCTGCACCCTGTCCTATTCCGCACCATCCTCATCATCTCAAACACACTTGAGCCCGTGCCTAGAGTCATTGTCAGTCCATCTCAGTGAGGATATTCCACTCTGTTGCTGACCTTCCACCTTTCCAAGCACAATGTCCCTCTCCAAGGAATAGCCTCTTGTAGCAATATGGCCAATGTAAGACAAAGGTTCACCCTCTTTGCAGCTAAGGAGCATTCTGGCTGCACTTTCTCCAAAACATACCTGATGTTTTGGCAGTCCATGGGATAGTCAGTACTCTCTTCCAACACCACAACTCAGCAGCATTGATTCTTTTTGTTCTGTCATCCTAATGACTAAGGAGTCATTGTCCAATTCTCAAGTTGTGTAGCAAGTGGTTGAGAAGACCATGGTCTGGATCAAGTGCACTTTGGTCTTGGTCTAAACTGATAGCAGTTCTTCAGGACGTTGGAGAGTAGCCCCCTTCAGCACCATGGAGAGCAGCACCCTTTCAGCACCTTGGAGAGCAGCATCCTTTCAGCACCTTGGAGAGCAGCACCCTTTCAGTACCTTGGAGAAGTCCCTGACAGTCAACTTTCCCAATGCAATCTGTCTTTTCATCTCCTGACTGCTGGTCCTAAAGGAACCAGCAGGCTGTCGGGCTCAGGAGGATGTCACACAGCTTCAGCCTTTTTTCGTCTGTTACGTTATTGCCTGTTGTCCCAGTGGTGAGGATGTTTGTCTCCTTAATGCTGAGATGCGATGCATATTAAAGGCTATAGTGCTTGACTGTCTGCAGTAAGCACTTCAGGTTCTTCTTGTTATGAGCAGGCAAGGTGTGTGTCATCTGTCTATTGCAGGTTGTTTATGAGGAACTCTGAAAACCCAGTTGCCTTTGAGCCACCTCTGAGCTGATGTCGTGGTGCCTTCACATATCTTGGAGGGGAGCCATGTCCAGATCTTTTCAGAGGCAGATTTTCCAGGGTAATTTGGGAGGACTTAGACTGCCATTCTTTCAGTGAACAGCTACCTGAGCACATTATGCCTGCCTCACTCAGGGACCCCAGTCTATTAGGCTGTCTGCTTGCCTTTTGAAAGTCAGCTATGGCTCCAAATCACAAATGCTAAACTGTCATATGTCTTAATCTTTGTATATGTTTATTCCAACAAACAACCTTGAGAGCAATTAAAAGGAAGCAGTGAAGGGAGCTCTGGTGGCCTAATGGCGCGAAACTGCACTACAGTCCCAGAGGTGCACGGTTTAAATCCACCAGATGCTATGCTGGAGAAGGAGGGACAATCTCCTCCTGTACCTGTCAGATCCAGTTTGATGGTACACAGAAAAATAATAAAATTAAAAAAAATTTTTTTAAATAAAGGAAGCAGTGAATTTGGGAATGGAGAAGAACCACGGGTGCAGATGATGAGAAATTTCTTCGTGCAGCCTCTCAACTTGCTGGCCGCCAGCTGTAGCTTGCGCTGAGCTTACGCTGCTCTGCCCACCTTCTTCCACGGAGCCACAGGAGCCTTACTCTCCCGCTATTAACTTTGTTGCACGGTGCTGTGTTGTGCAGTGCTGTGATGTTAGGCGCTGTGTTACTAGGGTTTCCAGTACCAGCAGGGTCACCTGTGGTGGGCATGTTTCCCTGGAGCTTCTCCACTCAGAGCAGGAAGAGAGACCTAGTAGTCTCCTTGGGCAAGTCCTTTGCAAATGAAGAAGCCGTGCAGCGTGGCGGGAAAGTATATGATCTGGTGCTGGAAGATGACACCATTCACTCTTGCACAGAAACACTGAACTGTACAGAGGCTGCCACAGTGCATGTCAGCAGAGCAGATCATCATGCTGGGTCAAGCCGAGCGTCAGGGAGAAAACACAAAGTCCTTTCTGCAATGGAACAGCCCAGGTGCTGTAGCAGCGGGAGGTGGTGAGGGCAGCACAGGGTCTGTTGTCCGCCAGGTGCCGGGTGTTCAGAGATGCTTGTGGTCGGCTGGTCTGCAGACACCTGTGTGTGCTGTTGTTTTTTTCACCAGTGAGCAAAGCAATTTAAATACATTTAGGAGGTTTCTCAGTTTTACAAGGGGAAAACCTTGCAAGATAATAAGAAAAGGGGTATTTCTTTTTTTTCCCCCCCCAATCCTACTGATTTTGTGCTTTTTTTAAAATACGATACCAAGGGAATGTTTTTAGACCGTGGTGGTGTTGGTTTTATTGATTTCCTTCAAGTCAGGCACAATTCGTAGCGACACTATGACCAAAAAGCCTGAAGCCTTTCTATAACTATCAACATTTATAAAAGTTCATAGATTTTTTCTGGAGGCATGTTGTTTAGGAAGTGGATGCCACTCCTGCTTCCAAACCTGTCTTAAACTGGGATCTCCACCAAACACTGTCCATGATGGGTAACCATAATGGCATTTGACACCCCACTGGTACAAGGGTTAGAAGAGTTGTGTTGTTGTTGTTGTTGTTTTAATAATTTTAATGAACATTTACAGAGAATTTGGATTTCCATTCATTCATTGCGGATTAGAGGAGTTTTTATACCAAATCTCCTTTAAAAGTCATAGCATTGGCAACTAGGAAATTAATCAATGACTGCATAATTATTTATAACTTTTATAAAATTTGGGGTGGTTTTTCTTTTTGGAACGACGTGGTGGCCCTTCCGCATGTCAGGTACCCTGTGTCCTAGATGTAACCCCACCTTCTGTCCTCTGCACCCGCAGGCCCGTCCATCTGGAAAGCTTTCTTCTTCACACCCAAGTTCACGCCGGAGGAGGCCTCCAACGGCTGCTTCTCCACCCATGTGTGCTTCTGCCATGGCCACTTTGTTACCCACCACCGGCCGCCTCTGCTGTTTGACATCTCCCGGGACCCACGGGAGAGGCACCCGCTGACGCCCCAGAGCGAGCCGCAATTCCACGAGGTCCTGCGGGCCATCCAGGGGGCAGCCGAGCGTCACCGTGCCACGCTGGCACCTGTGCCTGACCAGCTGTCCATCGGGAACCTAATTTGGAAGCCGTGGCTGCAGCTGTGCTGCCCGTCCTCAGGGCTGTCCTGCCAGTGTGACAGGGAGAAGCAGCAGGGCCAGGAATGGCGTGTGAGCCGTTAGCCTTGAGCCTGCCCTGGACGGAGCAAGGCCAGCATGCCCAGCACACAGCCTTCCCACCAGTGCATGTCTGCAGGGGGCCTGACAACCTGGATGCTCAGCTGGACCCTGTTCCTCCATTGATCCCCTCAGAACTTGGCTGAGCGCCTGCAGTTAAATAAACCAGGGCCGACAAAGCTCTCCATGCACCAGAACTCTGCCTTCCACGACAGGCTCTCTGGACTCAGTCGGGAGGGGGCGGGGGCATCATGCAGGCGTGTCCACCTGCAGTCAGGGGAAGTTGGATCATTTGCAGAGCTCAAGGTAACGCTGTCAACTCCGACACCATCCTCCCGGCCTCTGCTGTGCCAGACCGCCCACTGCAGCCACCACCATGCTGGACCGCCCACTGCAACCACCACCATGCCGGACTGTCCTGCTAAAGGTCATCTTCCTTCTCACTGACCTTCTCCTTAGCCGCCCGTGATGGTCACCAGGGACTGCACCCTCTTAATAGCTTACGTGAGGTGAGGGCTCTCCACCCTCGTTTTGAAGGAGAGTCCTGGCTGCTTCTGAAATTTATTCATCCAGAATAAATTGATTCGTTGCCCTGGCAGTCCATGCAGAGACTTTATTTTCTTCCTCTAGAAGGTTCCCGGTTTTAAACGTGGAGCTAGAGTCTGTCAGTGTTCCTAGAGCTAGAAGTGTGTAATTAGGAGGGAACAGGACAGGTTCACGTGTAGCTTTTTGCTCAAGAACCTTTTGATGAAATCCTTCAGTAGCAGGACTCCCAGGGGAGGTGTCTCGCGGCTCAATGCTCCTCCCATCCTTGTTTACATTCTAGGATTCTGTGTCACTTCTTTAGGTTTCTGGATTATGTGTGCTTTTCCCCACTTCCTTAGGCTGTGGGATTCTCTGCTGCTTCTTCCCCTTCTTTAGGTTCTAAAGTGGGGTGTCGGTTCTCTCATTCCTTAGCGTTGGTGAGTTCTGAATAGAAGACCACCTGAGGGATGCTGTCGTTTCCGGGGTCCCTCCCAACCCCCTCTGAAGCTCTGGTGTGATATTTGGGGGTTGGAAGGACAAGAGCACCCACTGTGATCTTACAACCATGGCCCCCTTTGGCTGCGGGCCATGAGTGGAGTGAGGTGGGTCTTTGATGCGAGAATGTGGCTTCTTGAGTGTTTGTGCTGTGATTACAAAGTGCCTGGGATTGTAACCCACATGGCACGTGCATTTGACTTTGAATTCCATTTCCCCATCCTTTGTCACTCAGGGGCATTGTTGAGGCAAGTCAGGGTGGGGTTGGGTGGGTGTTGGCAGACCTTGATGGAGTTCTGAAGCCTCAACTTCCGTCTTTCCTGAGGAGAAGGTGTCTCATCGGTGAGGGACATTTCTCACTTGTGAGACCTCTCTCACCAGGGAGGGGGCTGTCTGGCTCATCTAGGAAGGGTTCACCTGGGTCATCTGTGCGAGATAGACCTGTCTTATTTATATAAGTACCATCTGTCTCACCTGTACAGGGATACATTTACCCCCATTGAGGGGTATAACTGTCTTACCTGCAAGGATACACTTGTCTCACCTGTAAAGGGAAACATGAATCATGAGTGGCGGGTACACCTGTCTCACCTGTGCTAGGGATACCAGCATCACCTATGAGAGGTACACCTATGTCACCTGTGATAGGGATGCCTGTATCACCTAGAGGGATACACCTGTGTCACTTCTTATAGGGATACCTGCGTCACCTATGAGGGGTATGCCTGTGTCACCTGTGATAGGGATACCTGATACCTGCATTGCCTGTGCATATACCTTTCTCACCTGTGCTCAGGCTACCAGCATCAGCTATGAGGGGTACATCTTTCTTGCTTGGAGGGAGATGCTTGTATCACCTCTAAGCAGAACAGGGCACCACTGGTGTCCACATAGACTCTGACCAAAGGATGGGGATCTTTCTTTAGGACCGGCGGGCACTGCTCTGAGCCAGCTTCCCAGTCAGAGCCCTCTGTCTGCCCAGCGTTGGCTGAGCCAAGGGAAGCCCGGTGATACCACAGCCCGTCCCATCATGGAGATGGCACTGATGGAGCAGTGACCTGTTCCCTTGTGTGCTGGCCTGTGGGGACTGACTCAGTGGCAGCGGCCAGCAGCAGGGCCAGTACTCCTCCTAGCCATCTTCACCACCTTCCTTCTCCTGTCCTCACGCATTCTAGGACTGGATATTTGTTTACTGTGTGTATGTAGGTCTTCATTGACACATAACTGAATGCCCAGCCTTTTTGTTTACATCTGCTTGGTTTGGACAAGTGCTCTCACACCTGTGTGACCTTGTGAAGCTAGAAAATGTTACGTGGAACTTGCCATCTGCTGGTAGGTAGGCAAGCAAGGCATGCAGGGTGGACTCCCTCGGGAGTGCAAGGCACCCTGGGAATGCACGTGACGTGTCCTGACTCTGAAGTGGCCCAGTCTTGGCTAAGGAGTCCTGGTGACATGATGAGATAGCATTAGATTTCTCACCAAAAGGTTAGCAGTTCAGATCCACCGAGGGAGTAAGATGAAGCTGTCAGCTGCCATGGAGATGACAGACTTGGGAATCCAGTGGGGGCATTTCTTCTTGGTCCTTGTAGTCTGGGCATCTGTGAGTTGCATTGGACTAGAGGGCACAGAGTTGGGATCTTTTTTTGGGAAAGATGAGCTTCCTTCGTCATCCCATCTCTCACTCTGCTTTCTGGCAGAAATTCAATGATTCAAAAACCTTTCCCAGACCTCTCTTTCATGCCTGATTTTTGCTTCACATTTCTGGAAATGAAAGACCGCTTCTCACCTCCCCCAACCGCCAGAGTTCTCGGAAGCTTAGACCCAGACACCACTACCACTTTGAAGGCAGCTTCCTGTCGGTTTTATTTAGCTACAGGGCATGTGAGCTTCAGATCACAGCTGGTGAACTGCTTCCCCCTCCCCACTTGGAAGACGTATGTCCTACCACGGCCAGTGTGTCTCAGCATAGCATGGACCATGTCACTGGACTTGGGGAGAGTGCCTTGTGATATGGAAATGTATCTAAGTGGGAGCAGCATTGAAGGATGTGAGAGGTATTACAGATTATAGCAATGCACCTTTGTAGAGAGAATGAACTAGTCTTTGCCACATAAATAGCTAACACAGGATGAAGTTAGAGCTTCCCATGGAAATGAACTGCGTTTGAAGGTGTTTGGCTTTGCGATATCTTCGCCTGGGTGCAGCGTGGACACCCCGTGTGCTGAGGACATCTGGAAGGGAAGCTGACCGCTGGTCCATCCTGAAGGGCACAAGCTACACAGCACAGGAGGGAGAACACCACCTTCAAAGCAGACTGTGACCAAGAAAGAGGCTGCTTGTTAGAAGGGGTCCTGTGATGCTCCAATAAAACATTGTTTTCCAAGTGGAATAGTATCCGCGAGTGTTTGCTTGGTGTGCAGGGTGGTGCTGGGGGCAGTGTTATGGGGGGGGCCGGAAGAAGACAGGGCATTCCCACCTGTCTGTCAGATGTGCCACCTAAATTTATTATTGGGGGAAGGGAGAAAATGAACACTGAAAGGTGAACACCCCTGTATTACCCAAAATTGTGCTATACATTTTTTTTACAAACCCCCTCAAATACTAGTTACCAGTCATACTACCCTCATCATATGCACACAGCGTGAATTTGTTTGTATGGGCGTGCAAGCCATGAAAATATGGAATATTTGCTTTTATGCCAACATAGCAATAAAATCTAAGTCTAATTAGACTAGGAATAAAGACCTGGCAATGTAGAAATCCACCAGTGAAATCCCAGTGGGTCTACAACCGTTCCTCCTTGCATGTATGGGTCCCTGGATGTTGGCACCATTTCTACAGCAGCTCATAACAATGGTGTGCTTGATATTTTTATCTTATCATCTTAAAGAGTACTGTTGATACAGTTCCCTTGATGAGCCCGCAATAGTTGTGGGTAGCACTGGAGCAGAGACACCACTGCACTGAAGGAATTTGCTTTGCTTTGCTGCCCTGATGTTACCATGGTGACACACTTCCCTGATGATCAAGTGCTTGTTGGTTCTAACCCCTGCAGCGCCTCTTTGGGAGAAGGGCCTTTTCCACAAAGGTGACAGCCTGGGAAATGCCAAGGTATCGCTGTTAGTCAAAATCAACTCAACCACACCCAACAACTGATATTTGCTGCAAACAGAGTAGTCATTCTGTAATGTGGAGCCCAAATAGACTGACAGCTGACCCTCTGACATGTTGTTAGAGGCAGGAGATCGATCTTATAGGTGGAAATTGCCTCTCTTTTCCTGCAGAGCCGCTGGTGGATTTGAACCAGGTGCCTTTGACGTGGCAGCACAGTTCCTTACCATGAAGGCACCAGAGCTCACAACAAAGAGTAGTGCGTTTCTAATTCATCATGAGAAAAGACTGTTCTCTCATTTCTCTCACTGGGTGTTGTCAGGTTGACTATGCCTGTGAGGGGCCTTGTGAGCCACAGATGTGAACCTTGCCCTTTCCTGTACATGTCTGATATGCTGAAGTCCATTGTTCAAGTCACTTGTCTATTGAAGGTCTGTCTATGAGTCAGTTTCAACTCAATGGCAAAGAGATGTGGAAGCGAACCCTGGTGCCTTAATGGTAAGGAGTCCTTCAGCTAACTCAAAGGCACCCATTTAGAATCTACCAGGTTCTCCACAGGCTAAGAAAGGGCATTCTCCTTTCTATCTTAGCCCTATATATCTGCAGTGGACAGCCTCTGAAAACCCGCTGGAGGGTCAGCTAGGAGTTGGTTCATAATCGACGGTCCCTGACAGCAACATGTGCTTGTCAAACGCACTCCAGGAAACCCAGTCATTTTGCATTTTTGTCAGTCTGGTTTCTGTTCTTACAGAACAAAGATGCAGCCTCATCCCCAGGCCACTTTTGATGTGGCTTTCAGAGTTACCATTCCCGAGGGAAGAGGAGAGATCGTGCTTCTCCCCTCCTGGGGGTCAGCTTCTTATGGTGCTGCTCGG